TAATTAAATAAGACAGAATTAAAATTTTATTTTGAAAAAATAATCTATTAATATTTATCTGAGATATAAATCTTTTTGTATCAATCTATATTATGATAGTTAAATTTTTATAATAACTTATAATAGATAACTTATAAGATCAGAATTTTTATAATTAGTTAAGCACTATTAATAAATAAAAAAATCTATTGGTTGATGATTATGCACGTGATATTTTATTCACGTGTATACACTTAAAGAGGTAATAATAATATAATAGAACTGAAAATTTATTTACACATATAGAACATAAAGAATATACATTTATCACTATAGTTTCAGCTTGGAACAAAGAATAGAATGTATTTAAAGAGGATATGCACTTATAGAGGATGCATTTAGAAAGTATATAAATTTTTGCTTATATTATACGCATTCTCTGATTCGAGTAATATTTATTTTTCATATTTGGTTTGCCGGGTTGATTAAAAAATTTGCGCACCCCTATATTGGACATGGATCACATGATGGACTACGCTTTGACCGCTCCGGACAGTGCTGGATCAGGTGATTTTTCCGGGCCATAATCAAATTTCCTAATCTGTAATTCAATAGGAGTGCAAATTTTTTTCATAATAAAAGTGATACAACGAGAGCATAAAAATCAGTCTTTGATTATCAATTAAAAATGTCGGGAAGGCAATTTTACATATAATTTTGTCTCCAACCAAATACCTTACCCTTATCCTGATTCTAATGAAAATTCAAAATTCAAAATAGGAAATTTGAAATTCAGTTCAGTAAAATTGATTATCAAATCGCAACCATAAATGAATAGCGTTTCGATTATGGTTATGGTTTAGGGTTAGAGTCACTGTCAAAGTTATATTGCACGGATTATTGTAGAGTAAAATTTTGTCAAAGAACATTTTTTGTAGAACACAGGAAGTAAGTTTCATAGGCAAAATTTCAAGATAAATGTTTTGAATTTTTCCAAAACTACTTGATCTGCATTACTCTTGTTGCCGATGATATCGGTATAAAAAGGAATTTTCGAATTGGTTTTTATAAAAAATATATATATATATATGTACTATAAAAAATCGTTGTTTATTTATGAAAAATGCCTCCTAAGCAAAAACGAATAACTGCACAAGAGTTTTCTGAAGATTTTCGTTATGATAATGGAATTTTATTTCATGTATGTCGTTTGTAGTCATTCAATTAAAAGGGAGCATAAAATAATTATAAGTCATTCAATTAAAAGGGAGCATAAAATAATTATAAGTCACAAAAATTAAAGAAACCATAAACTACTACAAATAACACAACAAACGTTAAATTCGACACTTAATAATAATGTATCTATGACACTTTTACAAGAATGGACAATTTAATTTAATGAAATTGAATTGTTTTAGTTAGTGCTTATAACAAAATTTTGGATGTTGATAGGCAAAATCTTTATCAAGAATCTTTTCGTGCACTTACGATTATATATTATAAGAATAATTAATATATAAAATTCAATTTCGGTCTCTGCTACCGATTATAAATTTCGGCACTGGCCCAGAAAGACTAGAAATAGAATCATGTGATAAATTTTTATAATCATAGGTTTCGTCAATCATCAAATCGTCAAAACAAAAAATTGCGCGTTTTGTCACTAACGAAACATTCGTCAGGTATCATTAATATAGACTAAATCATTCAATGAGGCTCACATTATAGAATTTTGGCGTAGCGACTATTAATTCTAGCCAGAATTATCTCTCCATTAGGAAAATAACTTTTGATCTAGGTATCCAATTGAAATAATCTTAACGTCATATTTTCCTCCTTAACAATATCTATCAAATTATGTTTAGTTAACGTGATTATATTTTAAGTTCGATTAATCACAATTAGAACCTCTATGTTCAAAATGCCATTCCATATTTGACAGAAATTTTAAAGGTGCTGGGACTCTAACCGGCTCTTGAAGCACTTACACATTCGCATATGAAATGCGAGATTTTGGTCAAGAATGTATTAAGTTTAATTGTGGGCATAACTAATTTAGAATAGCACGTGATGGACAAGGCATTTTAAAGAATTTTTATTAACGACATAAAAAATAAAAAACTTCCGTTTACAATTAAAGATTTCAATGTACCGTTAGATCGAGTTCCGACTAGACTATATGAATAAATGAAATTATAGCATAGAGTTTAATAATTCTGGCCGAAATTATGCTTCAAATTTGAGGTTAACATAATAAAGTCAAAAATTTTATTTTATTCGCATTAAATTATCTTTATTATAACCTCTGCGATAAAAACATGATTTTTTTTATAATCATGATAACCTGAGATTAACGCGTGATGCATGAAATTTTATAATTAAAAATCACATGAATTTCAGGTTCAGCCACAATTGTTTTAGTATATAACTTTAGCTTACCTTGGGAGAATCTAGTTCATTATTGAAAAGGGGTATGCATGAATTTTCTAAGATCTATCCACTCGTACGCAAGGTACCTAATTGAGGATCCATTTGCAAAGCAAAAATATTCTATTTTTTTTTGTGCATTGTCATTTTCATAATAGCACGAGGTATGATTATGGAATTCCTTCAAATAACCTTTCTTGTTTTTAAGTTAAGTGATGCAATGTTTATTAACGAAACACTATTATTTCATGCGGGTATATGCGTCTGTCATCATCATGCATTGCTCGAAGATATTTTAAACTATTTTATTTATATGTCCGAAGTTTAAAAAATACACTTTATCCTAAGAACCAACGTCATATGAATAATTTTATACAATACTGCAACTTTTTTTTTATTATAAAACAACAATTTAATTTGGCTAAGAGATTACCAGCATGCCAATGATAATGACGTTATTTGTGAAAGTCGATCATCTCACAATGCGACAATATTAAGCTTGTTCGATTATTATTCCCTAAAGAAATTTAGTTCAAAGTGCAACGCCTGATTTAAACGCGCATTCATTTATGAAGAAATTTTGCATAACATAATGATTTCTCATATATATATAAAATTAAAATAAATCATAGCTTAACGTTACGCGACTTTGGACATTTTTATCTTATTTTCATTTATTTTTTGATTAAGCAAATTTTTATATACCAAATAGAATATAGCTAGCCAATGCAATGCATAGATTATTTTTAAAGTCTTAATTGTCCTTACATAATAAACAATCTTAGAAATGTAGATTTTGTGACTAATTTTTTGTGATGATTTCCATTATTAATATTATTAATCGAGTCCACGTAAATTAGTGGAATTCGGCATCGGCAAATTTTGAACATCCGAGTTAATCATAAAATTATCATTAATTGAGGGAATATTAGTGTTCATTTGAGGATTATTCGCCTGAGGGGATGATGACAACTCTTGCTGTGCAATCATTGTTTGTTGAGGCGGCATAGTGAAATTTCTGGTTAACGATGCTTGTACGGTTGAAATAGCATTCAATTGCTGCGTTAGTCGTGTTATATCCCTATAATTTAGATGATGATGATGATGATGATTATTATTAATCTGATTATTATTATTATTATTATTATTATTATTGTTGTTGTTGTTGTTGTTGTTGTTGTTGTTGTTGTTGTTGTTGTTATTGTTATTGTTATTATTATTAATATTATTAATATTATTAATATTATTAATATTGATATTATTATTATTATCGCCGCTATCATCATCATCGTTTTCACCATTATTATTCGTCAAAGAGAGATCAACATTATTTTGTGCGGAGGCAGGTGCTGCATATAAATTATTGTTAATTGTTGATGATGAATTATCTGATGAATTTATTGTTGTTTGATAAGGAAGAGAACAGACATCAGCAGCAGCATATGACGCTCTCCTTGATGTTGCTGACGGTATGTGATGATTTGAGCTGTATATTGATTGTTCATTCTCTTTTGAAGTAGTGTTTACTGTTGTAATGTCAACCATGGATGCACTTGAGAGATTTTTATTATTAGAAGTAGATGCACAGATAAAAGGATTGTTATAAGTGATTTGCGTAGGGTCAAATTGACCATTATCGAAAGCCGGGATTCGATTCATGACATTACTAGATTTTGGAGCATTAGATACAATGAAGTTGACATTATTGCTATTTTGAAGTAGTGTTGGATCTTCAACTGTTCCTGATTCTGTTTGTCCTATGGATGAATCAATTGAAATATTTCTTTTTCTACCACGGGGTTTTTTTGGAGTATTAGCATCTATACATAAAGCGTTTGTTGTTGTTGTTGCTGTTGTCGGTTCGTAAATGGAGGCAGTAGTAGAAAATGCATTCGTATTGTTTATTTGGTGAACTTGGATATTATGTTGTGTTGTATAAGGGTGAGACGAAATTGTGTTCTCGTGTGGAACGAATGAATTTTTTGAAATGGGTAAAAATAAACTGTTTCCCGGTTTATTGAATTTATTTAGGAAATCTCTGGCGCCACACGGACACATAATTTGACTTCGGAGGTTAAAGAATTCTTTGTAGACTTCTTCCAAGTTTTGTCTGTGCAAATCATTTAATATCTGGAGCTCTTCACATCGCGCGTTGAGTTTTTCTAATGCGCTTTTCTTCTTTTGACGTGACTTTTTTGCTAAAATATCAATGCATAATATTTTAATTAAATTGTTATAGTCATTTATAAGTTACTTTAAAAAGTAAAATATTTACCGGCTGCACGATTATTTTCCAATTGTCTTGCACGTTTATTTAACTTTCTTTCATCATCTTCTGCTTCGGGATGATCGTTTGAATTGCTTATATCAGCAGAAGCTTTTCGTTTTTTTTGCCGCCCGTATTCCAACTGTTTTTGATTCTGATTTTCGGGTTCCATGAATATTAGTTGTTGTTCGGGTTCTTGTGCGGGAGTCGGAATTATTACTTCGCGCATTGCGTAAATTTCCTGTTGGTTTTCTTGTTGATCAGACGTTGTAGTTGTTTCGACTGGTGGTGGTGGTGGTTGATATCGGTTTTCGAGCTCTTGCTGATCTTGATGTTGTCGATTCTGTTGGCGTTGTTGTGACACAGTAGATTCCTCGGAGGCCGGAGAGAATTCCTGTGTCGTCCACCAATGCTCCGTATTCTGAGCAATGAGGGTATCATTTTCTTGGGTCTCTAAAGACCCAAACGGTGTTAACGCTAATGGCACTGTCACGTGATCTTCGCCCTTTGAAGGAGGAACAAAGATTTGTTCAGGCACTGCCAAATTGAACGGGTCTTTGGGACCCTCGAATTCCACCATGTATTTCGAGAATAAATCTACACCTACGCCCTCATAAAGTGGGGTGGAGGCTAAAAATAGAAGGAAAAATTTGTTAACATATGGTAAAAATAGCAAAAATCAGCAAAATAATAAAGCGCATAATGTATAATTTTTCGAAATAGTTGAAAAAGACATGCAAAGAAATTTGAATTTTAAATATCAATTTATCCAATTTTAACTTGACCAAGTATTATCTATTAAAGTGTATATAAAACAAAGAATACTAACAACCCAAGAATTCCGGACTTTCAATCGAGTGTACGGACGGCGATGTTTCAGAACTAAACACGTCTTCATAACTTTCGCTGAAAAAATTTTCTAGCATCTGTTCCATTATTTTTTTTTTTGACTGATAGAATTCAATAAATTTTCATAAAGGTGTGTTGATAAAAAATATAAAAATGTAAAAACGAGATGATTATCAAGGTTTATTTTATTGGGGATAATGCGAAAATTTTTTTGATCTGTAATTTTTTTAATGTTACATAGAAGTTTGTTAAAAATCTTATTAGCAACAACCTGCTTTCGTTGTTGAAGCTGTTTAAAAAAAATTAACTGACTGCTGAGTGTAAAAGAAACGTTAAAAACGATTTATTTATATAATGCAAATCTGAGTTACCAGCACCTAGTACGAGTACGGTATGTTTGTTTTTTGTTCAACGAAATTGGTAGTTGAAAGTATTGTAATTTTTTTAATTTATATTATTTTTATTTCGTATGTATACTAAATCAATAGCTATTATATGTTATATGCAGTTATATAATTGTAGATTATGTTCCACCATGATGTAAGAAAAGCTTCGTATATTCAAATCATATCACAAACAAACTGAATTAATTAGGTAAGATCAAGTGATGATTTTTATAATAAATTTTTTGTAGATGTTGATGCAGTATTATATTAGATTTATTTACCTTTCTTTACTTTTTGGCTGCGATCAAAAACTGTGGGAAAAAATAACAACAAACATCAGCCTGTTTCTAGCAAAACCGCTAAACTTACAAAAACTACGTTTAAAAATTCTATTGATTGATTCGATGACGAAAAAAAAATGGCGAAAAAAAAAATTTACGAAAATCACAATACACAATACCCCAAAGTTTCTTTTCAATAATTTATCGCTTAATTTGGTGAAAAGTAATGGGAAATCTTGCATTATGCAACAAACATGTCTATTATGAATGCGTGTATATTAATTTCCTATTTTCGCGGGAATCACACAAAAAAGACCGTCAAATTAACTTTGTATTTCCCATTACGCCCCCCATCTGTGAAACATTATGTTTGAATTTCCCCTGTAGAAAGCAAGTCACATGCCTTCGTGAAGTTAAAACGGGTCCCCTGTCGGTTGGTCAGTGTGTAATTGTGTAATATTTACGGATCTGAGTTCATAAACTAAAAATAAAATTTTATCTTCTATTTATGTACATATACATATAAAAATGATTTACGAAAAATAATCCCTTGGCATAAAATTTGAACTTTTAATAAGAAAAAATGATCTTTTAAGCTTCAGAGAAAAAAAAAGTTTCACAAAAAAAAGAAAAATTCGTTCAATTCTTTCTCTTTCTTCGAACTTACTAATTTACAATGATGACGAAATTTAATTTGTTATTGGACATTTTGAACAACAAAAGAACGCACAAATATAATAAATACATATACATACGTTCTTATTACCGATTTGAAATATGCACAATAATAGTAGTACTAATAATATACTACTACTACTACTACTACTACTACTACTACTACTACTACTACTACTACTACTACTACTACTACTACTACTACTAATAATAATAATAATAATAATAATAATAATAATAATAATAATAATAATAATAACAATAATAATAACAACGATAGCGATAACGATAATAATAACAATAATAATAAAGGGTTATTAGAATCCCAATTCAAGTTTAGCCTAAAAATCAAAAAATTTGCGATACCAAGCTTCGTCCTCGGAATCGAAGAAATCAATAGAAACAAAAGATAGACCACAATAAACATTTTTTTTTAAGTGTTTTACAAATTACCGATACAGGAATTCGCTTTTTCATTTTTGCGTATTTGGAAAAATCTGATCTATTGATATCGAACAAATCAATTTACTGCAAAGGTTACGGCATTTACCGATAATACTTTTTATATGACAATAGGGTAATAGCAAATTCATTGATTGATTTGTTTAACTTACACATAATAAATCATTCCTTTTGACTATTCGTGTGCACATTTTGTGATGCAGATGCAGATGGCAATGAATGATGAAATGATACTATGCTAAATTCAGTCAAAGAAAGAGTGCTCGATATATTTTAAGTCACATGTTCTCAATCATATGAGTTGTGAAACTTTACGCGTTTTTCTTTACTATTTTTTTCTTTTCAATAACGCAGAAATTTGCGAACAAACAACAAACAAAAAACAAGAATGTAAAGGAAACTCGATTATAATGATTTTTCATGTCCAAAAACAAACTTTTTAATTGACTCAGGTCCATTATTTCTTACTTATCTAATACATGAACCTAAAACCTTTTCTAATGATTTTAACGATGATCATTGAAGTGCATCAATGAAGACGGGGCAATTAATTTAGTTTGTATGCACGTATACTCTCACACGTACATTCATACATACATATAAGTCTTTTGTACAAATTTTCACTTGCTAATCTTAGAATAGTTAATGACGTAGATGGATTTTTTGCTGATAAATTGTAAGATCTTATTGGGCTGTGGCGGTAGAAGAGGACTACGTGAGTGGCGTAAAGTTTCTTTTTTAGGAACAGGAAATAATCTTTTTGATCAGTTCTTATCTGATTTCGAAAAAAATAATTCGAAAATTCCAGAAGCGAATAACACTGTATTTGTATTTCCAAATAAAATCTATGCTGTGCAATGAAAACTATAACAAGTTTACTCGAATAATCTATTATTTTTAAGAATTCTGGAAAATCAATTGCCATGGATCAAAAAAATTCTTATTTTTTATGATCCTAGTGAATGCATTATTTTTCTTTCCTCTTGACGCAATTTTGCATGATTCTGAAAAGAACTTAATTATTTCGCACATTCTAAATTAGAATACTGAAAACTAGGATCTTTTTTCATCACTCTTACCTAGTGTTTCAGGTGATTTTTCAAAATATTTCCGAAATTATCCGAAACCCTAATTTGGAAACGTTTTGTAGATCAATGGTTTAGCTATGAATTAAAATTTCTTGTAGTTAAATTTTTATTTGTCCAAAATCATTTGGTACAGTCACGTCACGAATAAATCATTAGTTTTCACCGAAAATTTTAATGGATCTAAATTGATTGCTCGGAAATTAATGAATATTTGAGAATCCTGTGATAGACCTGCAGCGTCTCACTTAGAATCTACAGAAACGAATTATATTTCAATAATAACTTCACAAGCGCTCTCTCCGATCAATATATGTTGATAAGATAATCGGATTTAATCGTTCCTCAATTTCTATAATATGTACACAGTGATAATCGATAACGGATTCAACTTATTATGGGAACCAGCTATAATCTATTACAGCAGACTCGTCGATTTATCGGCTAATATGGCAAAGCACAAGACTTTCACTGTGCACCACTAAGTATACGAAATAAGTCCGGAACAATTTTCAATAAACGTTGCTACTTTAAGCAAGTCATTATCTGGGAATGTTCCTTTTATTAAATATATATTATTGATTTCTCCTTTATTTGTCTCTTCAATAAGTTGCTTAGCCATAATAAGCATAGAAATTATGGGTACTCCATCAATATTTTGCTATTAAGAGATTGTTCTTGTCAAACGTTTATTACTCGTAAGGGCATTTGTGCCCGATTGGGAGTAATCATCTTTTTAGCACGTGAGAATTTAATGTATTCAAGACTTCGAAATATTACGACAGTTTTTCGTAAGACCACCCGACGATTGAGATGTGGCGTTCAAAATCGGAAAATTTCAAAGAAGCGCAAAGAACTAAAATTTGATAATTAAATTAATTGTTTGAGCGATTACATAATCTACACACAAGACCTGAGCCAGAAATCAATCAAAATCGGAGAATAAAAAAATCTTTGACAGGAGATTTTGTGCAATATTAAAAACATTTCATCAAAAAGAAGCAAATAATAAACATTAATTAATAGTTGTTACACTTTGGCTCGTGGTTCTCTTGGCTGCGTATGATCAAATCTCGTATTCCGTAAATATGATCTAATTGTTTTTATTGGCAAAGATTTTCACATTACACAGTTGTGCAGATAAAATTAGGAAACATCGAAATGAAATATTGGAAATTCGATATCGGATGAGCAGCGTCATTTTTGTTTGGATCCTTGGGTACTAATTTTATAAATGACATCATCTTACGAAATGTATCATTAAATAAATAAATAATTTAAATTATATACATAAATATTCTAATGTTCCAATATCTTCTATAGAAAATTGCCCAATATTAATGTTCCCCTTCATTTTAATGTGAATCTTTTTTCCCTCATAATGCGTGAGAGAGATTACGTTCTTATCTGAAATTGTCCCGCTTTTGTTAAACTTCTTACACCCTTTTTTTTAAAAGCAATATTAATAGAAAATTAGGGATGTAAAAATACACGGTTTTTTTTTTTTACCTTGTATGGTTTATATCCTTCATTATATATCTTTAAACTATCAACCTTTAATCCGGATAAAGCATACATATTAATCTGGAAATCTAAGGTTATCGTATGACCAGATTCAGGTGTTTGTTCCCTTTAACGTTCAAAATACAAAATTGCATTAAATTTATTGATTCATTTAAAAGATAATATAAATGACTTACGAGCTAGTGAAATTTCCAGACAAAACTGGCGTTTTTTCTTTTGGAGTTATTTTCCCTAAATCCCACCGTATGCACTGATTTAGAAAAATAAATCAATTAATAATACACATTAAATACACATTAAAAAACAAGTTATATTTACTTTTGTAACAGGATCAAAAATATACGATCCAAGATTACACGTGGCATTTACATTTAAAACTGATTTGCCTAATGGGAATACAAGTAGAACCTTTTCTACTGGTTTACCATCCGTGTTTCTAATTGTAATTGATATATCAAATTTTCCTAGATAAAATATAACATTAATATATCAATCAACGGGAACAAAGATTTTATTTTTATATATATATATATATTACCTCCCGTGTTTCCGATGTGAATCTGAGGTTTAACATTTATTGGTAACATTTGATTACGAGGGAGATTAACACTTATTTATCCAAATAAGAATTTTATTAGTGCTCAGCCGTAAAACTTAATAATAGTTATTATAAATAAATTACCGATAACTCATTAATTTGAAATGTCCATCTGGTGGAACAAACGAAAGAACGCGTTCATTCTCAAATTTATTGTATCTTACACATGGATGAAAACTACAATCATCCAATACGCGTGGATTTAAGAAACTCAGGGTAAGATCAGGCATACCTTAGGTATAAACAAATTTTAAATTAATACATAAATGCATAAAAAATATGCATGCATAAATTGTTTATGCAAGATATCGAGATATCGTTCGGATGGAAATTAAAAATTAATACCTGATAGACGGCAATTTGCCTGTATAAGACCGTGTGTTTCAGAAGACACTATAGCACCATTACTGAATGAATATAGCAAATGTGAAAGATAACTTTAATGAACCGATATACCAGATACGAAAAACTTTAAAATTACCTATCAACAATCGCGTCAATTTCTTCAACAATATCAAAATATATTTCGTTATTGGTATATTTGACACCGGCTTTTCGCCAGGGAATACTTGATAATGCTCCATTAGGAATGTTATTTCCCACACTGGAAAATAAAATATATTAACAATTGTAAGACGAATTAAATAATTCCATTAAAAAATATAACAATAAAGATTTTACTTTGTGACACCAGCAACCTGACTTATAACTTTATTCATTATTGTTGGTGGCACAATCATCTCTTTTAAGGCATTAGGTTCTGTAGTTAATGGATATCCTGAAATGAAAGAAATTTATATCACTGTTCAAAAAATTTACGATAAAGCACAAATTCATATCCATACCATAATCCATCATCTCTTCCAAAAGCTAACAAATGATAATAAAAAAACTTAAAATTTATTACGATCAAAACCAAAAGGTAAAAAGTACACACTCACCTGATACACAACATCAAAGTTATCTTTAATCGTTGCCTCAGAAACTTCGCCAAGATACTCGGTCAGAATATCAACGATGCGATGCTGAAATTCAAGTACCATCAATGGGTCAACTATTTATCGCGGGAAAAAATACACACAATTAATCAATCACCAATACAAATAAATTCTAAAATAGAGTTAAGGTGATCTTTTCGAAATCAAACAATTTCTAATCCTCGAGAGTGTAAATAATTTGATACCTTCACTAGAAATCGGGCTCAAAAATGTCAAATTAGACCTATGAACATGTACTAGTTGATATTTTGGCACGGAAATCACCGGCACCAATTCCTCAGGAGAGGAAACTTTTCCCACCTGATCATTAAAATAGTCAACCACCTGACGGTTAATAAGTCCACGCCAATGTTTTTCTATTATGATTTTGCTAATTTATATAATGCATTTATAGAGTAAATCTATAGATGAAATTTATACAATTCAAATTAAGCTTTTGAGAATATAATACCCGTTAGAATTAAGAACAAACAGACTATCAATCATGGTTTTTGACGAAAACGATATAGTTGTATATGTCAAAATTTTTTTAATTTTAGTCTCTGAAAATCATGTGATTACGTTTTTTTTCTCACAAAAAATCTGAATACAGAAAATCAAGAAAACCACCAAGAATGAATGTATCAAAAAAAGACGAAGATTCTGGCAATTTGGGAATATTTTATCACTTGGATAAAACCACAGTGCTTCAAGAGGCTCGAGTATTCAACGAAACGCCCATTATTCCACGAAAATGCCGCCTCCTATTAACAAAAATCATATATTTATTGTATCTTGGTGAGCCATTGGGAACAAAGGAAGCAACTGAGCTTTTCTTTAGTGTAACCAAATTATTTCAATCTAAAGACGTAAGTTATGAATATTTATAATAGCGATCTTGATTAATGGATTTAATTAATTATTAAAAAACGTCTCATATTTCATCGCGTCGATTTAATTAGATTGCTCTTCGACAAATGGTTTATCTGGTAATCAAAGAACTATCAACTATTGCCGAAGATGTAATTATGGTGACTAGTAGCTTGATGAAAGATATGCAACCAAAATCCGAAGTTATATATCGCGCTAATGCCATCCGAGCTCTGTGTAAGATAATCGACGTAAATATCTATTATTTGGGAAATTTTCACTTATAGAAATCACGCATGAGAAGTTTTTCAAATAAATTTGACGCTTAATTTAGGCTTCCATGCTTCCCAGTGTTGAACGATTTCTCAAAGCAGCAATTATCGACAAGACTCCATCGATATCATCGGCTGCGCTGGTCTCAAGCTATCATCTCTTTCCTGCGGGTAAAGATGTGATTCGGAGATGGGCTAACGAAGTTCACGAAGCAATTAATTCAAAACCAGCTTCGTTAGTGGGCAGCGCTTCTTCATATCTAACGTCTTTTTCAACTGGTGCTTCTTCATATGCTACGCAACCATCAACAAGTAATATAAATCAGTATCATGCTTTGGGACTACTTTATCTGATTCGTCAGCATGACCGAATGGCTGTAACAAAGGTGATTCAACAGCTTGCTGGAGGCGGTAGAAGCGGTTTTGGATCCTCGAGTAGCGTGCTCCGTAATCCGTTTGCATATTGTTTGTTGATTCGATATGCTGCAAAAATTCTTGATGAAGATCCAAAGTGAGTAAAAATCTGTCGTGTTGTTTTGAGAATAAAATTTGGGCTTATCTGATGAATTCTTGTAAAAAATGATAAATTTAATTAGCTCAAGGCAACAGATGTATGAATTACTAGAGGCGTGGCTGAGACACAAGAGTGATATTGTTAATTTTGAAGCTGCAAAAGCTATTTGTCATATTAAAGATGTCACCGCCAAAGAATTATATCCAGCAATTAATGGCAAGTTTGATGAATTTAATTTATTCATTGCTAAATATTAAATGCTTATTAATGATAAATGAATCTCTTAGTGCTGCAGCTCTTCCTTTCTTCGCCAAAACCAACACAACGTTTTGCAGCAATTCGTGCGCTCAACAAACTAGCCATGACTCATCCAACGGCAGTTCAACCATGTAATTTAGATATGGAGAATCTGATCACCGATCAGAACAGAAGTGTTGCTACTTTCGCGATAACTACCTTGCTCAAGGTATATTTGATTAAATGCGTTATTCGTTGAGACACAATAATGAGAATAATATTTATTACAACTTAGACAGGAAACGAGGCGAGTGTTGATCGATTAATGAAGCAAATAACAGGATTCATGAGTGAAATATCAGATGAATTCAAAGTGATTGTAGTAGACGCGATTCGCTCCTTATGTCTTAAATTCCCCTCAAAGCAAGCAGTTATGCTAAACTTTTTAAGTGGGGTGTTACGTGATGAGGGTGGTTACGAATTTAAGCGGGCGGTAGTTGAGGCGATATTTGACTTGGTAAAATTTATTCCGGAATGCAAGGAGGCTGGTTAGTGAAACCACAGTTACCATATTTTTCCAGTGATCTAAATATTTAAGATTTAATTAGCTTTTTATTTTTGTAGCACTTGCTCACTTATGTGAATTCATTGAAGACTGTGAATTTACAAAATTGTCTGTACGCGTTCTTCATTTGCTTGGTGTTGAGGGACCGAAGACAACAACACCCACCAAATATATACGATACATTTATAATCGCGTTATTTTGGAGAACTCGATTGTTAGGGCGGCTGCGGTTAGCGCACTTGCAAAATTTGGCGTGAGTGTCGGAGATGTAGAGGTGAAAAAGAGTATTAAAGTTTTATTGACAAGGTTCGTAAAATTTTCCATCCTAGTTGCATTTTTCGGTCTCTATATAATGTCATTGGATTACTGAATCCAGATGCTTGGACGATAATGACGATGAAGTACGTGATAGAGCCACCTTATACCTAAAGCTCTTGGAAGACGAAACAAGTGCTGAAAAATATGTCAAAGATGGTTAGTTCATCAAGAATTATAGGCTCCCTTTGTTTTTATAATATTTGATGCTCATCATATTTAGCATTTTCTAGATTCAACATATTCTCTTTCAGCTTTAGAAAAACAACTTGTTCAATATGTAAGCACATCCGAAGCAACTGAAAAACCCTTCGACTTGTCTGCAATACCAAAAATCACCAAAGCACAAGCTGAAGCTGAAAACACACGCGCACGAAACATTGATCATAATACGACATCTCAGACTCTTGGAGGTGTCAGCGCAACAAATGTTATCAATACTTCGATTACCACCGCTAGCAGAGATGTAACTACTCCTACACCAGCCGGTCTAGATCAACAGCACGTTTATGCTCGGAAACTGGCCGCAATTCCAGAATTTGCTTCATATGGTGAATTATTTACTAGTAGCAACAAACCCATTGATCTGACAGAAAGCGAGACTGAATATGTTGTTAGTTGCGTTAAACATATATTCAAGGAACACATTATCTTTCAGGTACTGAAGAAGATAATAAAAATTCTTATGGGGTGTTAGAAAAGATGAATTTTAAGTATACTATTATTAATTACTCGAATTTTGATTTGTTAGTTTAATATTACAAATACATTAAATGACACGTTGTTGGAAAATGCTTCAGTTGTCATGCAACCGGAATCAGACGATATTTCGCTGGAAGAGGTTTTAGTTCTTCCAGCACCAAAATTGGCATACGATCAACCTGCTTCTGCCTATGTTGTTTATAAACGCATAAATTCCGACGAATATGTGCTTGGTTCTTTTTCAAATACATTAAAATACATAGTTAAAGAATTTGATCCTTCCACGGGTAAAGCTGAAGAGCAAGGATACGAAGATGAGTATCAGGCAAGAAAATAACAACATTTGTTGATTTGTAAAAATGGAGATATATATATATGTTTCTAATTAAATTGATTAATATATTTGAGTTCAGGTTGAAGACATCGATCTACTTGCTGGTGATTATGTCCTTCCTACGTATTTGAGCGATTTCACTGCTGCATGGGATCAACTTGGTGAAGATGGACAAGTAGTCGAGACATTTGCATTAACCGCCATGAATAGTCTGAAAGGTACAAATGATTTCTTTTTCATCAATAATAAGATGAATGAATGCTAATTTTTTATTTATTATTATATCGGGTTGTCGCAGACGCCTGTGCCAAACTAATCAGTCTGCTCGGTATGAGCGATGTCGAGAATACTGGCACTCCTCAATCCACAAGTCTACACACATTGTTACTCTCGGGAACTTTTCTAGGTGGTATCAAATTACTCGCTAAAAGTCGAATGACCTATGCGCCCAGCTCTGGTGTAACTATGGAATTAACAGTGCGCTCGCAAGATATAGAAATAAGTCGTTTCGTGATTGGCGCGATCGCATGATTTAACAGTATTCCAATAACTTTCCAATTTATAAGGAATTTTGTAATTATTTAAAGAAGTTTAGGATAAAAAAATAGATGATTAGTTTTTATATAACTAATTCTTTAAAATTAACAGATACAATTCTTTATCCGGTATCTCTAAGACAATTGAGGTTAGAATCAAATTTGAAATTTAAAAATAGAAACATTATTGATAAATAGTGCCTATGGTTAAACAAAAGTGAATCTCGCATTCCCCAGATTATTGAGAATCTGGGCATAAGTTTTTCTCTGAAACATGACTTGCTCAGGAAAATTCAATAATTCCTCGCTGACAACATCAGAGATAAAGATCGTTGAGAAACGACTCATTAAGTCGTAATCGTGTAGATAATTTCGATATACATTTAACAAGAATTGTTAGGCGACGATGATGAAGATGAAGAAGATAATGAACTATCACCCTGATCAACTTGATCTTCGTCAGAAATTCCATCTACAAAAAAAATCAAGTATTATTATCTGATCTATATACTACTGAATATGGAAAGAATTTAGATAAAAGCATATATATACCTCCAAGTAGTTTTCCCAATGAAATAGGACCGTCAACATTCTTTACTGTTGTAACATTCACTCGCTTTATTAAAGTACATATAAATCAGGTTAAAAAAAATGTTCGATCAATTAATTTATTTTAAGAATAATCCGACTTACCAATGTGTTTACTTTACTTCGGGAGACAATTTCATCATCCCCCGATTCAGAAGATGGTGACCCTTCTTCTTCATCAGAACCAGAATCCGAAGATAAACTACCAGACGAACTACCAGCTACAGAGGACTCGGTTCCGCTCTGTCTGCTCTTATTTTCACCTTCGCTAGTATTATTCAATGACAATGAATTTACAGTCGGCAATGGGTTTTCCTCTTCGACAAAGTCTTCATCTTCCATTAACAATTCATCCTCATCCTCTTCATCTTCCATCATGAGATTAAGTTCCGCCTCGAGTTCGGCAATATCGGGATCCTGTGATTGATTATTCGGGTCTTCTATGAGATTATCTTCATCATTATCATCCATAGCCACTTGATCAAGTAATAATTCATTTTGTATAGAATCAGATGATTCTATTTGAGGGACTACATGTGTCTTGGTTTTTTTGGACTTTTGTGAATTTGGTGTTGGTTTCGATGGTAAGACGAGGTTCGATGTGATACTTCCTTTCGGTGTAGATGACGAGGTATTAATCGTATTAATAAGCTCACGATTTGGCGTGGAAGCAGCTGTTGTGGATAATGGTGTTGATGTAATTGATGTATTTAAGTCATTATTAACGTTTGTAAGGTCGAATAAAGTGTCTACCAATTCAAGTGTCCAGGTCTGTTTGTTGTTGTATATAAAAACATTATTTAATCTTCTATTAGCAAAAAATATGTCGATGATATACATTATCATTGTTGCAATAACCAATTAATCGATCGAGCAATACGTCTTTTTCTTGGCTGACATATTAGGCATAAAAATTAAACCATTGCGTATGAGATCAAACAAAGGTAAAGGAGAAATCATTCACTCACTCTCTGTCACTAACCTGAGTTTGTTCATCATAAATCAACAAGCATTTCTTGGTGCTGTTGCTTGATCCGTTATCATTAGATAATTTCGAGCCAGTGAAAGTAATTGGTTCGTCATTCTAAAAAGAAAAACCTGAGTTTTAACATTGAAAAAATTTAACTATAATAATAATTAGTATATTAACCGATCGACTATACAAATCAGCTCTTAATTCGTCGTCTTCAATTTCAAGCTGACCGCCTCGACTAAAATCTATATCTGTGTCCTCTGTATTCCCGACTATATAAATAACGCGCAAGGAAAAAATTATTAGAAACCCAGGGGGGAAGAAAATTCAACATAACACTTACGCTGAAATGCATAAAAAGCGTTCGAAGAGCTATTCCCCTCGCCTAATAATGTGCTGCCTAGAACAAGTGTCTCTTCTCTATTAGCTTCAACATTAATGTTCTCGACTTCCGTAGACATTATTAGACTCGAATTCAATTTATAATAACCGAACCCGTTAAACCGATGCACCTTAATTAAAACCTCGATAAACGATGTCAGTTATAATAAATCCTCTTCACGTAATTTCTCCGACCTCTTTTTGCCGAAAATCATGATCTGTGCTTACTCGACTCAGCTAAGGACCGAGATGAATCTTAATTTCCCTGACGATCTGTTTTAAACAAATCCCTTAAACCGTCCGTTTTAAAAATCGGTAGCAATAACGGTCACTGTAAATGTTCTCCTTTCCGCTGATATCATTATCATTAATACCTGGATATAAGTTAGAGAATACAACTCATTTGTGGGATATGAAATATTCAAAGACAACAATATTTCTGTATTATGTTTGCAAAATCTTTTAAAAATATCTATAAATAATATTCTTTAAAATTAATATTTAATAAGATATAAGTAATTAATCATCTAATTATATTATAATATAAAGTAACTAATAATAATTAATTAATTAATATTTTATTAAAAATTCATATCATAATAGGATTCTCTTTATTAGTATAGTAGAAATAATATAATTATATTATTTCTACTTAGATTAGATTATTTCTACTTAGATATATATTACATATCAAGATGTTATAATTTAATTTTATGACATGCTCAAAAATATCATATTTTCTATTTTAAAACATATCTTTAAATATATTTATATTAGAGATATCATAATTTATTTTTTATAATATATAATATAATAATATATTTTGCTTTTTATAATATATATTAAAGATGGCTCCTTAACTAGTTGCAGCTTGCAGCAGCCAATCAGAGAATTGTGACAGAGTTGCAACAGCCAATCAGAGAATTATGATAGAGTTGTAGCTAGTTGTGGCTCTCATCACTAATATATATCATAGTAATATATTTTGTTATATACTAAATACTAATTATAATTAATTTTTATTATCACTTTATATATGATATATCATATATCAATTTGATGATTTTTGTTATTTGATTATATAAGTAAAAAAATATACTAATAATATATTTAGTTACGTATTATTATTTATGAATCTAATATGAGAACTATATCTAAATCTAATATATAATATCTTAACTTTCTGATTAATAAGAGTTAGATTTAAAATATGTAGTATTAAAATAATATTCATGAACTGACTTACTTAATATACTCAAATACTAATAAAGAATAAGATATATAGTATTAAATTACTGGTAATTATTAGCTTTATATAATTCATTCAAATATCATTTAATAATAAGATATATAATATCAAATTATTAACTATTATAATATATTTAAGTATTAATCAAGATTAAGATATATAGTATTAAATTATTATCTGATATATTATATTTGAATATTAATCAAGAATAAAATATATAGTATTGAATTATTATTACTTATTTAATAATATATAAAAGCGGAAATTTATCTTATCTTTTTTTTTATATTATTCTATTTTTGAATATTATCAAAACTATGTTATATTTTTATATTTTGAAATTATATCTTGTATATTTAATATTATTAAATTCTATTCATATATAATATTACTATTTTGATTATTATATTTAAGATACATAATACTAAAATAATATTCCTATTTGATAATATATAAAAGTATAATTTTTTCTTATCTTTTTCCTTATAATATTCTATCTTTATATATTACTAAAAGTTAATTATATTTTTTAATTTCAGAATTCTTTCTTATATAATTAGTATCTTTAAGTATTTTCACTTTATATCAAAAAATTAGATTATATTTTGATAACTTTTGCATATTATATTTTTAATAATCTTTGTATATTATATTTTTGATAATCTTTATATATTACTTAATTCAGATTATAATCCATCTAAAAATGATAATTATTTTGATTTTGTTTTATTATTCAAGTGATATGTATTTTATATATATTTTGCTAAAGATAGGATATTATAATCTACATATTGATGCTGTGCAAATTATATTTTCTTTATTATCTAAGAGTTATCAAGATATACAGATAGCTTAATATTTAATTTCTATTTTTTATATTACTCAAATAATAATCGTGATAAATTTTTATTATTATCTATATATGATATAATATATGCTAGTTTAGTAATTTAGTTGTGATCAATTTTTGTCACTGGCTCACATGAGCAAAAAAAAATAATAGTATATCTTGTAATTTATACATTATTAGTAACAATAGAATTTTTAACTGTGAATTTAAGAATAGATATAAAATTAAAATCTGACTCAGAATTATATTATTCATCTAGCTTTTCTATATAAGCTTTGAAACTCTTTCTAATCTTTTATATTAAGAATTTATTGATAGCTTAATCTGGCTTAAAGTTACAGTCTGTCTCATCAATCTTTTATATTATAATTTTATCAGTAGCTTGAGTTAGCTTGCTCTTGTGATCTTGCATTATTATTATTTTATATACTATATAAATAAATAAAATAATTATGTAAATGCTATTGGCTATGATATTAATATCACTATAAGTTTTTTTTAAGTACTTCTAATTTTTCTACTATTTTTTCTAACTTTTTTTAGTAATAATATTTTATATTTTGATACTTATTAGCATATATTATATATATGTCATATTAGAAAAAATTAACTTATTACACTTTTTACATGGTGTATACATAAGAGAATTTCTATAAACATAATATTGAAAAATTTTCAAGAGCACAATTTTGCACAGATCTTCAGGTACAAAATCTGCACAAAACTTTGAACCTGATGATAATTGATAAAGAAAAAAAATTAAAAAATCTGCACAAATCTGTAATAAAATATAGATCTGTGCAGATTTTTTAATTTTTTTTTAAAATTCTGCGCAAAACTTCATAATATTAGTTTCAAGTAGTAGTAATAATTTTAAGTAACTATAATAGTAGTAATTTTAAGTAACTATAGAATTCATAAATTAAACAATAGTAAAGATATTTATTTTATTATAAACTATATATATATAATAATAAAATACAAATTTAAAGAAAACTATATTATATAAATTCACAATTCAAGTTAATGATCTTTTGAATAAAAAATTAGTTTTTTTAAAGACTTTAAAGAAACAAATTACAAAGAGTATTAAAGAAACTTATAAAATTATCATAATCATTATCTTTCTCATTATCATCTTCTTTAATCATATTCTTAGTCTGTGACTTTTGGTATTTTTTCTTTGCTGTTTACTTCATCTCTTTAATTTCTTTTTTTACTATCTCTGCTATCATTTCTGATGTTACTAGCTAATTATTTTCTATAGCTTGCTAAATATCTATATTTTTAATACAAACTTTAAGTAAATTCAAAATATTACTTACTATAAATATATATATACACCTTGCTACTAATTTATCTTTATATTTAATTTCTGAACTTGACAAATTGAGAAGAATATTATAGATAGCTAGGACAAATACACAGTATATCAATAGTAATACTTTCCTTTTATATTTCTTTATGAGCAATTTATTATTTTGAAAGAGATTTTTATATACAGTTTGAGTTTTCTCACTCCTCTTTCACATAGTGAGATAAATGACAGATATGTTATTATCAACTCTTACTAATTTTTCTTCACCAAATATTGAAAAGATGGTATTTCAGATAGCAAAAATATAATCATTATATTTACTGTAACATTTTGTTCTTATCTAAAATTATCAAACAAAAATAATTAGTAAAAAATTTATAGATTTATATAATTTATAATGAATCTGATGAATGTATTTCTCTATGAATATAAATATCTACGCATTATAATTCAGATTATTAATATAATCTTTAGCATTTTCTGTCAAATATTTTTCTAATATTTGTTGATATTTCTTGAAAGTTGGAAAGAGAATTGTAAGGATCAACTTCTTGACTATCTTCTTGTATGCTTGCTATATAGAATAATAGAAAAAAGAACTTTAGTAGATCTTACAGATTGATTTTTGACTTTAAAAATAATCAAAGATAAATATCTTTCAGAATATTTTGAATAGTTTATTGGTGGTAACTAATTTTTTAATTAATTTGATTTGTTCTTGTACTTGATTATCTAAAAATTAATAGAAATGATATATACTATTGATTTTTTTGTTTAGAATATTTATTATATACTTGAATTCTTCATAGATCAAAGATCTTTCATTATTTGATACTTTAATAGGTAGAAATTGAGTTGATGATAAAGGATATCTAATATTATTAATCTTCATGTTATCACTAAATAACAAATGATTAGATGAAGCAAATTAATGTGTAGAAGAATAAGATGATGAAAGAGAAAAAATCATGATAAGATCTATGATTTCTTTATGCTTGCTTTTATCATCTATTATATATAATAGAAAGAAATTAGCAAAAATATTTATTTATAATA